GGGGGGGGGGCGGCTGTGTGACTGATAGACATGTTTAGAAATGGAGGTGGGGTTTCTGGCAGACAGGTTTAGAAGTTCCCAGATATTATAAAGCAATGGTTCTCAACCTTTTTTTATCCAAGGACATTCTGTATCAAGGAAAACATGTTTGCTCCCTCTTGAACAGGTTATGATATTGTTTCTCTTGTATGCATTCTGCAATGATGATAAAAATTGACAATGTTTATTAATAGAAACATTTTAGTTTGGTAACACTGCCAATCAATATAATTTCTTTTGAACGTGACTCAATTAAGGTTTTCCTCTACTACATCAAGTAGCACTAGTTTTTTTTTTTCCTCAGGTTATGATAGTTTCCAAAACAGAAGCTGAATGCTTATGAACAGAAAAACTAAATATAAAACCTATTTGGCAAATGGTTCTCAAATCAGAAATCAGGTGAACCATTATATGTGTACGTAATAACTGAAAAGATACTCATTTTAAGGTATTATTTAAGGTATAAGGTATTAGCAAAATAAAATAAAACAAATGTTGCAAATTATGATTTTCAATGATGTTTTAAAATGAAAAGAACCATGTACCAATGAATCCTCACCTTTCCCCTCCATTAATTTCCCTGTGAAAAGCTGCAAACTGAGTAGTTTGATTTTAGCTCTGAATTCTGGGATTCTGTGTAACATCACGAATGAAGCAACTAGGAAGGAATACTATTGGTGTCTACTAAAAATCTTTACTAAGGTCCTAATTTTAGCACATAATTAAAGTATTACAATATAAACTATCAATATAGCATAAAAATGTGATATTGGCTATTTAGCAATGTCGTCATTTTTTTTATGCTTTTCATGTCCTCGCTGAGACAACGGAGTGGTTAGATACCAGTTAGTAACACTGCAATAAAGCATCTCAGTTGGTTCTACAGTTCAAGACCAGAGACACTTATTAAGCTGTCTTCTTCATCTGTGACTTTACAATGCCTGTCCATCACACATGTGGCCACACACAACCCACCTTTTACATATGTGGTTTTAAAGTGCCTGCCTGTCACATGACCCC